CATTAAGCATATAAGTTTCATAAAAGTTAATGTACAAATTGATCACAAAACGATAGCTTGGTGAGTCAAATTTAACTTTAAAAATTACAGAAAATTATCCCTAGGAAAAAAAAAAGACATGTCCTAATATGATCAGAGTGAATATCATTGAATTTCTGGCAAAATTCAAGAACATATTCCAGGTTTTTTGGAATAAAAAATAATATTGCTGATTCTTCTTTGTATCTTATCAAGCAGCTCAAAGTAAATAGCAGGAACATCGGACCATATGTGGCAGCAATATTCTAAGGATGGACGAATAGATATGTTAGATAGATTCTGGAGAGAAAAATTGTCCCAACAGACATAGTGAACCGATTTTCTTAGCAGCTGACCTAGCAATGGATTCACTATAGTCTTTTCACTTCATATCAGCCCCAATTAATTATGGACATGAGGTCATTTTGAACACTGGCTGCCATTTTGACATTTTCAGACTGATAAGCTATCAAGGCAGGAGTAAATTGTTGTGTCGTGAGCATAGATACCAAGTTGAGAGCTGATGACATCAGGAAGGTCATTAATGAAAATTAAAAAGAGAGTATGACCAGTGATTGGGGACACCTGCATTAGTACAAAATGATCTTGACTAGTGGCTGTTCAGGATAACTTTTATTTGATGATTTGATAGCAAAGACTGGATCAGTTCAAAATTGTCTGGAGACTCCATAACTTTTCAGCTTGTGTGGAAGACCTGAATGCCAGATTCTGTCAAAGACTTTCAAGATGTCCAACAGGGCTTCACTGTTTTCATGTAGAGTATGATAAACTCTTTCTGCAAATATCACCAGTACACCAGCAATTGACCTGTAGAAACAAAAGCCATATTGTCTAAGAAAAGGCCTTGTGATGAAAGATGATGCACCAGTTCAGCATTGATTAGGGCCTCTAGGAGTTTCCCAAAAAGAGGTAGAAGGCTAATAGGCCGATAGTTAGAAAGGTCAGACGGCTCACCAGAGTTCTTAAAAACTGGAAACAGATGATGATTTCCAGCAGGCAGGAAATCAGGAGGCAGCATGGCATTTATTATACAGTTTAGAGAACAGGAGCCAGTTCAGGAGCACACTTCTTAATGACTATTACAGGGATACTGTTGGATTCACATGCTTTGTGGGGATCTAGGTTAGAGATGATAGTAGAAACCATGGAAGGGGTTATACGCATATCACTCAACAGAGACACAGTTCTAGGAGGGAAGTTATGCAGGGATATTTCGGATGAGTCAAGAGCAGAATTTCAGTAGAATTTATTGGCAAAGCATTCAGCTTTATCAGTAAAGGATGATAAAACCTCATATTAATTGAAGAGGGGAGGAATAGAAGCCTTACATTTATTTAATGCCCTATTACAAAGCTGCTAATAATCGCAAGAGCCAAAGTTGTTAGAGGCTATGTGGTACCTCATACTCTTGGCTAACAGGGACTTTGCTCCTTTGACTACTTGCTTACATTTATTGCAAGCAGCAACAAATAGGCACCTGTTGTGATGAGAGATGTCATGCTGGTATAGCTGAAAATAGTTGTTCCTGTGTGTTATAGTGGCTGAGCATATTGGTGTGAACCATGGAGAGAATTTGACCCAAGAAGAAACCTCAGTGGCTCAATTTTCAATTGGGAGTTTAAATTGATCAGTCCAAGGGCTGTCACAAATAAAATCAAGGTGTGAGTCCCAATCAGCATGCTGGTAACAAAAAGAAGTCTTGTGGATAGGGGATTCCTGTTTAATACAGGATTGGAACAAAATATCAATAGCCTACCACAGAGTGATCAGAATTACCAAGAGGGCAGTGTTGTGACACTTGGCAAGAGCAAGGAGAAGAAGTAAGAAATAAATCAAGTAGAGAAACATGTTGATTGGTTTTGCTAGGGAAATGAGTATGGAAGTCCATGATTTGAGTTAGGGATTGGACAATGGAAAAATTTATTGTTTGAACACCAGCAATGTCAGTCCCTTTAGAATCATGTGTTGCGTTGAGCATTAAAGTCACCAAAGAAAAAGGTGTCTGCAGATGGGTAGAGAGAAAGTGCCTTTTCTGTGAGAAATTATGTCTAATATACTGTAGTCCTGGGAAGAGAGAGGAAACAATAAAGGAAAAAGAGATAGCTTACAGAGTTTAGTAACAAAAGACAGAAGCACATGAAAGAGTAGTCTGACCTTGAGAGATAATTTCTTGGACATTGGAAGATTATCCCATATGTAAACACCAAGGCCATGCATATGAATATTGGAATCTTTTCAGCAAAGGGGAAGATAACCTGGAACCAAGAATTCATTGGTAGCAATAGAAGAATTTAAGTTATTTTCACAGAGCAAAAACATCTGGTGGCCGTTCCAAGTGGAAAGATTCTACACTGAAAAAGTTGGAATGGATACCACGAATATTAGTGAAAGAAAGGCTGAGGTGGGTAGGTGATTTTTTGTTTACTGGTTTAATTGTATTACTTTTTGTTGTGCTTTCCATGAAATTCGTTTTGAGGGGAGAGAGAGAGAGAAAAGGCCACTATAATTGTCACTATCCGTCATCAATGGTAATACAAACTAGCCAGAGAACATAGAGTGACCTCAGAGTTGCCCACCAGAAATAAAAGCAGGGACATCTACCTATGCCCAAAATGGCACTACAAATGCCCCAATATTATGTGACTGTTGATCAGAGCATCCTCTCTAAGTGCTACCAAAGAGATCGGGCTCCTAATGACCACTTTGAAGCAGCAGCCAGCAAACAACCAACCCGATACCCTCACAATGGAAAGTCACAGTCCAGTCACCAAAAAGTTAGTACAGTTAAATCACTGTGGCCCTGGTAGAAAAAAGAAAGAGAACCGGTAAACCATATCCTGAAACAGGGGATGAACCTCTACTTCTTTTCAATAGATATGAAAAGAGTTCGAGCCAGATGATAGGTGAACCTACTACTCCTATAAATGTGAAATGTGGAAAATCACCAAGTGAAGATAGCGCCTACTTACAAGTCTTTTGAAAAATGCAGAAGAATTCCATAATGTATTAGCATAGTTCTTTACTCAGTAGATACAAAAAAAAAACATACCTCAGAATTTCAGTCTTGGAATAGTAAACCTACTTTATAATAAAGACGTTGGTATCAATCACCTTTTCATATTAGTCTCAAATAGATACAAAATTATTCTCAAACAATACTGCAATAATTTGACTACAAAAGATGCAAATAAAATAAAGATTGGAAAAAGATTGAAGCAAGAGGACACAAGTAAGTTATTTAGTTTGTCAAAAATAAAATTAATTTTGATAACTCAATTAAAAATGACATTCTGTTTATGACATTATTTGGCATGAGAAAAATTTAGTTTAACTTCATTCAGCAGATGTGTGGGTAGTCTAACAGCAGCATTGGAAGTGAAATTGGTAAACTGAGTTCAAATTCTGGTCTAGTCTGCTATGTTAACTAGTGTACTAATGTACATGGGAAGTGAATAAATACATCTCTCCTCCCACCAGATATGGGTTAAATAGTAAATTAGTCTAGGTTTGAGTGGCATATAATCTAAAAGAAAAATTTCTCTGAATTCAAAACTGTAGAGAAGGAATTGAGGAAACCTCTATTTCCCCACCAAGAAGTGTTAGCAATTCACAGATAATTAATAAAAATCAATCTGCGGAGAACTTGTTTGCCCTTATCCTGAAAGGACATTGCATTAAGAAAAAAAGCTTCATTGAAAAACAGGTTTTGCTTGTATTCTGATAGATGTTATATTTCAGTACATTTTTTAAATTAGCACATTTTGAACATTGAAAATAGAAAAAAAGGAAAATTTTCAGCATAATAGGCATTTTTAAGAAAGATGAATTTTAACTAAATAGCGAAAATAAAATAAAAAAAACATATGAAGAAAGTATTGTAATAAATTAAATGTGTCAAAAGTGGTTTTCAAAGTTTCATGCTGCAAATTTCTCACTGAATGCTGCTCCATGGTCAGATAAACCAGTCAAGGTTGATAGCAAAAAAATTAAGACATTACTTAAAAATAATTAAAATTTATACAATGCAACAGATAGCCAATAAACAAAAAAATGTACAAGTGCAGACAATCATTGTCACCAGCTTGGTTATGTTAATTGCTTACATGTGTGGCTTCTATACAAGTGGAAAAATTTAACTGAACTTTATTTCTCTGTGTGATTTGCTATTTAAATATAATGAACATTTTTTAAACAATTGTGTTTTGTGATAGAAAGTGGATACTTAACAGCAAAACCACCACTAATATATACCAAAAGATGGTTTTTATTGAAAGAATGGGATGTTATGCACAATATATTGCAAGATTGAAAGAGAGTTTTCTTCTACAAGCTACTTTCAGAGAAGCAAACAATTGATATGTGCAAGTTTTGCTCTCAATTAGATCAGAATAAAAGCAGCAATCAATGAAATGTATCCAGGATTAGTTAACAAGGTGAATCCAAAGAGATACCACCTTCATTAATAGAAAAGGTATAATATTCCAACTACTTATAGCTTTGTTGACTAGTCAAACATTGACTGAGTTTGACCAAGAAGTTTACACTCCTGTATTCAGGAGATATTGCCCCTTCAGATTACATTTATTCTTCTGTCTTTTAGAAAATAATTTTAATAAGAAAAATTCCGATTTACTAAAGACTGCAAAAGACAGACCATGCAGTTTTTTGCTGAGAAAGATAAAAAGTTCAAGAGGATGGAATTATAAAATTAGCTGAAAGATGACAGAAGATAGTGAAAAAAACAGTAAATTTATTGTTCAATAAAGTTAATGTCAAAAATAAACAAAATATCTAGGTCTTATTTTTTTTTACTTAATAAAATACTGAAAAAAAACAATATTTTCTGCAAAAATTAAGAACTAAAATGGTATCAGAGAGACCAGTAAATATTGGAAAGAAAAGTTGTATAACATAATGAATGGTTTGAATAAATAAAATCATAAAGAATATTAATATAATACCTCATCTGTTTCAGAACCAAATAGCAGCAGATCAAATGGGATTGCTGCGACAACATCAATGAGGAACCATCCTTTAAAATAATGCACGGCAATTTTTCCTGGGTGACTGACCACTTCATCATTTTTATTTACATATGTGGTACGGAAATTGATAAGAATGTCAATAATAAACATGACATCCACAATGAGGTCTATAATTGTAAGGGGATCCTGGTAGCGGTTTTGCACACTTTGAGAGTCTTTTTTACGTTCTTCACTTAAAAGAAATGCAGCAACATAGGGGGTAAAAATAGCTGTGTAGATAACAAGAAGTAGAATAATCCAATCCCAAACTGCTTTGAAAGGAGAGTAATGAAGAATGGTACATCGGTGTATACGGGATGATTGTAACTTATATTCAGGAAGGACATCAGCACCAAGCGAAAGGACCTGAAAAAGAAATGAAATGAAAAAGAATTTCCAGAAAACTGACTAAAAAAAAATAATTATCATTAGAAGTAAAAATAAACAAAGAAATTAGATCTTAACTGCACATCCAGTAACAACTTTTGAATATACTGTATACCAGAGATGATAATAACAGTAAACCAAAAATTTGAAGTTATGACTTTAGAGATTTAAATTCTTTTCAAAAAGATATAAAAATATCTTTCTTGCTGTAGTGCAGCTCTCATTAAACTAAAGAAAACAATGAAAAAGGGAGATATTAGGTCCAATGCAAACTTAAAGAAAATAAATTTCGTACCATACAACTCTATGCTACACAAATTCATAGTTGATTAATAAAGTTTACATATCTATTTCTCAACTGTCCAATACTGACCGAAATATTACTTTTTGATTCAGTTAGTTTTATCTTTTTCTTTTTATGATATGACAAAGCTTATTCGAGATTTTATATTTTGCAAAAAAGTAAAATAATTAAGTACAGTGATTAAATGAAATTGATGTGGCCAAAATACAAACATGAAGATAAGCAAAAATAAAATAAACAGAATAAAAGGTTGCTTGATTGCTTATAAAAGAATATAAACCAACTCAAATATATATTTCCAAATATATCAGTTGACTTTAAAATTAAATTTCCATTATAATATTGTGAACTTCAAGGATACATCTTCAATGTTTTTGGATTATTCAACAGAAATAAAGCTCAGTTAATCCTGGTGCTTTCCAAAAAAATAGAAATACACCATTCTAAGAGAAGGACTTAACCAAAAAATAAATTACATTTAATTATTATAATCTTCCATGTGTTGAATTAGTTACTAAATTAGAAATGATACTTTCATCGAACTTTTGGTACTTTTTTGAACTTACATACTTATGTTTGATGTGTTTATTACAAATCAAACTTTCAGAACAGTGGAGTACTTCCAGGTTTCATTTTGTGATTTAGTACAGTGTTCCTAGTCTCACAATTTGAATTAATACTGAATAGTCATAAATTTCAGTAGGATTTCAAGCATAAACACAGAAAAGAAAAGGCAATTTCAGATTACATTAGTGATAAAAATCACCTATGTAAATGTAACATAACAATTTGTAGAATACTTAATTGAAAAAAAGTTAGTCCAGACATGTGTCAGATGATATAATTTATTTTTTGCAAGTACATCTTGAGAATAAAGTCAGCATAAATTCAAATTTATATAAAAGAGTTTAAACTGGATATTAAGCAGGTTTATGTTTGTTAATGTATCTGAATGCATGTGTATGGTCGCCTAAGTGTTTTTATTTAATCCCACACTATTAGTTTCAGAAATTAGTTTTCAGTTAACTTTTCTCTACCATGTTTAAATTTTGTGGGCCTGATGCTAATAACAATTTTTCTTTGTTTCTGTAAATAATTTCTACATTGTATATAAACATTGGGAATTTTTAATTGCAAATAAATATACATTATTTTTTATTTCCTCCTCACAAATTCTTATACATATTAGAACTATAGTTAAGACTTCCTTGAAAAATTGTTAAAAAAAAAAGTTCAGATTTACTGAATAATTCACTACATTTGAACTTATTTTCATTAACTTTTAACTTTTATTCTTACTACATTATTTCTAAATAACCTGTGAGTATATATTTAAAAAACAAAAACACTTAAAAGGAAAAGAGATAAAAAATTTTTTTCTAATACTTGAATTTGAAAATGCATCAATTATTGAGATTAAACTTATGGGATTTGAATCAATCAATTGTGAAACAGTTTGTATAAATGAATTTCTTCATCTTAAAGCAAATATAAAGGTTAACTCACCTCATCGACTCCACTTGTTCCATTTTTGACACCACGCCTGAATATCTGAAATAAATAAAATTTTTTTTAAAAATATGAATTTTATAACTGAATGAAATTTTTAATGACCAAGGAAACAACTTATCAAAAGCAGAGCATTGTTGAAATATCAAAAACTAGATGATTATTTTTAGTTAAAAACAATTGCAAAATCATTAATGACAGTCAAGTTGAAATAAAATATATTGCAGAAATTACTTCCTGAAAAATGACTTTATCACGAAGTAGTTTTATATCAACAATTAAAAAACTTATTTAAACTAACTGTGAACATGAAGTTAAATATGGCCATTAATTACCATTTCCTTACATAGACATTGCAGATTATTAAAGTGAATGTTAAGATAGAAGAATGTCTAACAGTACAGTAGAAGAATGAAACATACTGTGTAAGTAAAATAAAAATATAGTTACTGAACTGGCATTTATCCTACCAATATTACATTGTTTTAGTTTTTAAATTTGACAGTTGTTAAGAAACTTTAAATTGTCATCCAACTTCTATCCAAAGATTTCAGCACATTACAATTAAGACTAATCCAAATATTGAGAAGCTGGTTACCACTTTAAATTTCATTATGTTATTCTCTTAGGTGGTGCCTACTAATCATTATACTGATTAGTACATTTATTTGAGAATAGAACATCAATTGGTGACAAATTTATGAAACTGCTACAACAGTGGCCTCCAAATATTTTAGATTCCTTGTAGTAAACTGGTACACTTTACGATGTAAATAAGGGTAGTTGTACCCAAAATATTTCTTAGGAATTTCGTTTTTGTTTCTTTTAACAAAAAATATAATGTTAATATCTTCATCTTAATGTTAACAATTAAAAGTTAAAATGGTTTCTGTTGATTGTCAGATTACATAACAGTGAATAGAAAATCTTTATTGGAAATGTATTATGTTAGGCATACACAGAAATATTCAAAGTTATTATTTGAAATGATCAGAAATAGTCTAAAGTTAATGCTAATATAAGACGAAAGAAACAAAGCTATAAATTATAACTTTTATAAAACAAAAACGAAGCAAAATAATTTATAATCCATCATAGGTCATAGCTGTTCTTTTAAGTGGAGCATTTAAAAACAGAATTTTCAATAATATTACTTGGCATTAAGTATCTAAGTAGTTTTCAAGAAGTCAATCAATCTAGTTTTTTTTCCTTTTACATTTTAAGTTAAAACATTTTCATCATTGATTTTGAGAGTTGAAATGATAATATTATTTTGTAAAGTATCTATTTTTATCTTGAGAAATTAAAAAAAAAATCAAAGAAAAACTAAAGTTAAAAAATAACAGTTTTAGAATAAATCCAAAGACGTAAAACAGTAATTTAACACTGCCAATTTCACTAGCATACAAGTAATAATGATTAGTCTTTCAACACATATTTATAGGGTTAATTTTCTGCAGCTTGGAATCCAGAAAGCTAAGTGCAAAAGAGAAGATGTTAAATAAAAATAAGAAACAAATAAAAACATTCCAGGAGAACCGTGTAATATTTATAAGTGCAAAATTAAAATCTATAAACTTACGAGACCTAATTTTTCAGTAACATTTTGTCTCATGTTCTGAACATTGGGTAAGAGCTTTGTTGTAGACAGCACACCATCGATATCTTTTTTACCATCAACTAAATTTCCAATACTGTCTTCTTGTGCCTTAGCTTTATACTTTGCTAGCTCTGAATCACTCGATGCTTGGCCAGTAAAATTGGATTTTACATGGTTAGCCAAAGCTGAAAAATATAATTACATATATAACATTAATAAATATATAATAATCTATGTAAAATTGAAGTTTTTCTATTTGTTATGGCAAAATTTAAATATATAAATATAATTAAAAGCATTTATAAATATTTGTAATAGATCTAAAAATATTTATGTAGGTAAATCAATAAGACTGTAGCCTAATGATGACCCAACTTTTATTTTATACAACAAAGATTTATTTTTTAATCTCCTTTCTTGTCAATCCATTTGGTTCACTGATGAATATTAACCATACAAATCAAACATTATATAATGAAAATTTGTTATCAAATTTCAGATAATAACTATATGTCAGTCTGCACACTCATATATGAAACAACTAATACAATGTTTATTCTCCACTAGTGAATACGACCTTGAATTAAAGATTATATATACTGATATAAAATTGATTTCAATTTACAGATTTATAGACATGAAACTTCATTGGTAAAATGAGAAATGATTAAACAAGAATAGATTAAAAAAAATATAAATCTTCAATGTTTAAAAAAAGAGAGAGTTCCCCAATTAACAAATAATTTAAGCGACAAAAGGTGGTGATAGAAACATTAAAATCAATAGCAAACAAGGTTTAATAACTTATAAGGTTTAGTTTGTTTTGTTTTGTTTTGTTTTATGGCATATCAACCTCTATGGGTTATTGAATGCTGACAAGATTTTTATTACTGGTAATATTTTTTTTTCAAAAATGTATTGCTGGTAATATTTTTTTTCAAAAATGTATTGTTGGTAAAAATTTTTCAAAAAAAGTATTGCTGGTATTAACACCTATTTTTATACTTTCATAGAGTCTTGACCTGAGTTTAGGGGTTAACTGTTTACCCATAGCTGGGACCCTAACAGGTGAGGGTGGACCTGGGAACACCAGCAACCAAGAAACAGTTCCATGCTCCTCAGGACCCTCCGATCAACAGTCCCACTATCGGATGTAGTTTATCGTCTTACCCAGGACAGATAACTTTTAAGACTACTGATTTTATCACATTAGAAAAATGGGTTCATGCCCGCTTTTAATATCTAACAGTGGTTATCAATTTGTAACTAGTAGGAACAATATTCATCAAAAGGCAACTGACAAAAAGTATATTTAGAAACAGTAAGGATTCTTCATTGTCAAGAATCTCTAGATATATAGCAGAAGCACCAGACCAGATGTAACAGCAATATTGAATGAATGGACAAATGGTAAACTTATAAAGGTGTAAAATAGATTCTGGCATGAAATCATGTCTAGAACGACACAGTGAACCAATTTTCCTAGCAGCAGATCTAACAATATTCAATATAATTATTCTGCTTCATGTCAGTGGTAAACATTAGGCTGAGAAAGCACAATGAGGCACCATCCTGGAGGTTAGCATCAGCTATAGTTAGAAGGAAAAAAAAAACAATTAAAAAAGAGCAGTTACATTTTGGAGGCATTAAAATTGACAAACCATTTCTTGCCCCAATTAATAACAGACTGGAGGTTTTTTTCTTTGAGATCAGCTGCCAATTTGACCTCATCAAACCTATCAGACTTACCATTAAGAGAGTAGTAAATAGTTGTGACAACATAAATACCAAACCAAGAACTGTTATTGGGAAGAGGATATTGACAAAAATTAGGAACAAAGTAAGTCCAAAGATAAAACCCCTGGCAGATACTTGCATTAATGCAAAATGATCTAAAAGAATGGCCACTATTCAAGACAACATTTATTTTGTAATTTGATAAGAAATATTGAAACAAATAAAAAATTTGTACAGAAATACCATAAACTTGTGAAGAAACCCTGTCAAAGGCATTCACAATATCTAAAATAACAGCCTGAGTGTCACTGTAACTTATCTAAAGCTTGATAGACTCTTTCAGCAATAACCATTAACACATCAGCAGTTAACCTGGAGAAATTTTTGTTTCTCTGAAAGAAAACCTTACAAAGTGAGATGATTAACCAATTCAGAGTTGATTAGAGCCTCCAAGACTTTGCCAACAAGAGGTAGATGACTAATAGATTGATAGAAAGATAACTAAAAATCAGGAGGATTTTCAAAAAGCAGAAAAGCAAGAAGCAGCAAGAGTAGAACAGCAACCATTTCAGGAGCACATTGCTTTAGGACTATTGTAGGTATAACATCAAATCTGCATGCTTTGTGAGGATCTAGTTTAGAGATGATAGTAGAAACCATGGAAAGAGTTATATATATATATATATATATATATATATATATATATATACCACACAGTAGAGACTCAGTTCTAAGTTGAAAGTCAAGCAAAGATACTCCAGATGAGTCAAGAGTAGAATCAGAAGAGAATTTATGAGCATAGCATTATGTTTTATCAACAGCAGATGATAATACCTCAAACTGAGTGAAGAGGGGAAGGACAGAGGACTTACTCTTATTTAACATACTATTGCAGAGCCATCAAACTTGTCAGAGGCTATACAGTGCCTCATTCTGTCAGTAAACAAAGATTTTGCCTCATTGCACACATACTTACAAGTGGACACATAATCAATAAAAAGTGATACAGAAGTTAAAGATAAATAGTAGGCATACCAGATTGGCTTAGTTTATGGTGCAAAAATAGGTCAAAATAGTGAAATTTCCTTCAAGTTCAACTCAAGTATTTTTAAAGTTATTATATTAAAATTAGTATGTAAAGAACATTCAATGTTTTCTTTTTATAAAGATACAATTCTTCCTGATGTGTGATAATTAGTTTTTATTCCAGATCTCTTTAAATGAGGTCATGTGTCAGTGATGGGCACTTTTTTTTCTGCATTTTAAAAGCAGAGAATTTTATGTTTATGCTTCAAAATTTGTTTTGCTCAGAGTTATGTGTTCCTACTAGTGATGAGACGATTAATTGGAATCAGAATTTTTAACCAAATTTCCAATTCCAAAAATGATGCTTTAGATTTTTTTTTTATTGATTTTTAAACTACCACTAAGACTAAAATCTATAGATCATAATAACCTAAGTATAATGTAAATTTATTTTACTTGTCTAAAAAAAATCTAATGTGCAAGTTTCTACTCAGTTCTTGAACTTTTCATAAAGTTTGTAAGTTTAATGTTGTGTTTCAGTTCAAAATAAAATTTTTATTTTCTTTGTTAATTGTTAATTCACCTATTTAATGTTATAAATTATTAATTTAATAATTATAATCAAAATTATGTAATATAAACACAAAATGAATCCATGTTGTTGTTCTGTCAGGCTCTCTTTTAAGACAATTTTTTTTCCAATTTATAAAAAAGAAAAAAAAAATGAATATATGGAATTCCTGCCAATGTCACATTTGATTTCTTCACATAAAAAATTAACCTTGTGTCCCAAATTGTACTCGTGGTGATGCAGTTAAATTACAACAATTTGTTTTTATAATAGATTGAATTCATAAAATCATTTTTTAGTCTCAGTTATTAAAAAATTTATTTTTGTTTATATAGCATACAACATAAACAAAAATAGATCTTTTCAATAACTGAGACTTAAAAAAGTAAACACTCTTTTTATGAAATTCAAATTTGTTTCTACGGAATTCATGTATTTCTTAAAATTTTATAACTTTCAAAACAGATTTTAAAAAATAAACAAATTTTGGTTAATTTGCATTATAATCGATCAAAACCAATTGTAATGAAAATTCCTCATTATTGTGTGAAATTGCCTGATTATTTCTAAAAATAACAATAAAAGTTTGTGGACAAATACCATTTAGTAGTTATTAACAATTTTAGTTCAGCCTTATTCGCATCACATCTACAGCCTGGCTGGTTTTTTACTGATCTTACTGTGCAATTTTCATGAAATTTAATTTAAAATGTGCATCTTTTGCTTAATGCAATTTCACTCTAAAATGTAATTTCTTGGTAATTCGTGAATTTAAGTGATTTCAAAAAGAAAAAAAAAACATCATTGAAAAAAAAAGAAAACATGATTTTTTTTATCTTTTCAGGCAGGCAATTTTCATTTTATTTTTTGTTTATTCATTTTTTAAATTTTTACTGATATATTTGGAATAGTGAGGCTTTTTCTGTTTGGTTACTTTTTAAAATTTCACGCATTCATTTAAAGTTCACTAACATTGAAATTAAATCACAGGAACTATAAGATCCAGTGACTAACTCTGGTAGCTATGATGAAGAAGAACCATATCAAGTGATCTTCAGATATGAAAGACAAGGTTGCCATATACTATGATTTCTACATTTGCCATGTCATTGATATTACATCTTCAACCAGTGCAATAATCAAGTTTTTTAACTCCAACTAAGGTAGAAATGATTATTTCTAATAGCCTATGGTGGGCGACACTGCACAGGCCGAGTCAACTTTTCAAGTCAAGGTGGGATTAGGTATAATGCCACTTTCAAGTGATAGTAGAATCTGGAAAGTTTCAGAAATATTGGTTATAGAAACCTATAAAGAAATTCAAACTACAAATCACTATTAAGAATGGAAGTGCAGAAAGTCAAACTGCACAGAAAATCTTTTTTATCAGTTCCAATAAATGTAGTTTTACTCATTTCAATTTTATTTTATTTTTTTAAATTTAAAAATTGAGTTTTAATGCTTTACAATAAGCACTTATTTGAAAAACTGACCACGAATCCCTTTTGCATAACAAGTTTCAAAGTTTTGAAGTTGTCAGTGCTTTTTAGGAACATCAAAAATTGTATAAATTTACAAAAACTCAAATATATTTATGAGAAAAAATTTTAATATTATAGACAAAATAACTGTCTTGTTGAATTTCTCATCACAAAATGAGTAAAGTTTCAAAGTTTAGGGCTTGTATCTCCAGATGCTTTTTTACAGCAAGTTCAAGAAGTTTTTTTTTACCCTACTATCAAATTTTGCTTCTGCCTGTACTTACATGCTGAAATAAGAGTTGTTTTACTGATATACTCCAGTGAAATCTCTAATATACTATGAAACATATTACAAAGTTTCAATGACTTAACTATAGAATTGAAATTTATATGAATTGTCAAATTTGCCTCTTTATGTTATTTTTGCACTGTTTTTATGATAGAATGTGATTTTCCACCCTCACCCCTGTTTAGGCTGGTCTTATCTAATAATTATTAATTCCATTAGTATTATCTTTCTTTTATTACTTAATGACAATGCATTTATAATGATTTTTCACTTGTTTGAAGCCTGCATCTTTGCATATGTATTATTAAAATGGGCTTCTGGCCCAATTGTACTCAAGACAGAAAAATTCACTTTGAATAGTCATAAAATAATTCCAATAAGCAGCTCTAAAGAGTCTGTCCAGAATTAGCCTTCTGGCATAAAAGTGCTCTATGCCATAAAAATGACAGAGCATTTGAATATTATTTCAATAACCAGGTAGGCAATGACTGGCCACTACTTAAGTTTCATACACTTGCACACAATCTTCAGGTAGCCATATGTTGTATTTTTGTTGGCAAATTTTTACCTCAATGTGCTTAACAAAATATAAATATTTTATTTGTGGTCCAATCATTAAAAGAATTCCATGTATGGAAAGAGAATAAATAAAGTATTCTAATTATGCTAATATTTTGTGACTTCAGACATTAATATTTTTATACTATTTTTTTTATGACAGCTTCTGCCATATTTTCACACATACTACACATAGGATAAGTCAGTGTTTCTGTTAATGTGGTATTTATAACTCCTCACTGATAAATTACAAAATAAAAGTACAATTGTGTTTATTTATATATTTTTAAAAGTAAAACTGGGGATATGTAAAAAAACGAAGACGTTACTTCTTTTATTTCTAAATCAGAAAAACTTTAAAAACTTTTTATGACATTAAAAAAAGATAACTTGTTTTTGTTTATATACCCTCTGTTTTATTTAAAAAGAAAAACAAAAAAAACACATTGTACTTTAATTCATAATTTATCAGTTTTTTAATATTTATTTCAATTCTAACAAGTGACAAGCCATAAATTAAATGCCACATTAACAGAAATACGGTTCATTTTTCTTTTAACAATGTAAAAAAATGCAATGTCTTTTTAAATTATTTTGTTTTACGTAGTTGAAGTTATTAGCAAAGCAGTAGACTAAGAATTAAAAACAAAAAAATAAAACTTTGCTAAAATAAATAAACATTAAAAATGAAATATTTTATTACTGTGAAAACTTGTAAATTGAAAAATTGTAAAAATCCCCATTTTTGGAATTTAAACAAAGTTTCTGCACTTAAAAGAAACTTCAATTTTCTTTTAAATTGGAATGCATATGATATTCTTAAAGCATTGGAATTTTTTCAATTTATTTATCTATCTATTTTATAATTTATGAAAAGTAACAATTTTTTATATCCATATTAAATCTCGGGCTATGATAAGATAAAAAAAAACAATTGGTTCACTTATTTATTTAATTTTTTTTCACTAACAGTTCACAGACATGAAAAATCAAAATCAAAGAACTGATGCCAAAATCTGGACTTCTCACATAGGTGTGAAAAAAATGTGGATCCATTAAATTCACTTAATCCAAACCCACATCAAGCCCTTTAAAAATGTTCAAATTTTTTTCACACCTTTTGCTCAGGTCTTGTAAGTGAGGTTTAACCCCACCAGCTGACAATGTGTTTTTGGATACATTTTTTTTTTTATTGCTAACTGCCTGGCTTTGAGTCAGCCATATCAAAGACAAATTGGCTTCATTTGAACCTTATCTTCTTCCTTATTGCTGTTTTTTTGCAAAAATTATTGAAATTGTTTTTTTCTTTTCTGAAAACTTACCACAGACCAAAGGCGCCACGCATGGCAGACTGTTACCTCTGCCCCACCTAGCTACACCACTGCTAATAATAGTGAGAAATGATTATCATATTATTTATTATAATTTTTTTCACTAGACTTTACAAAATATTAAACTAACAAATTAGTCAACAACATTTTTAAAACTGATTAAATAATAGATATATGATCAGACAATTTTTATAAAATGAATTATGTGATAAAACATTGTAATAAATGAGTTTTGAAAGATCAAAAACAAGTCAAATCACATACGGGGCTCGCTATTTGTCCGAGCTTTACCATCCTGGTCAAGATGTCGATTCTGATTCAATCCTTCTAATGATGAAGCTCTTCTGAGGTCAGCATTATCTTCTAAGTGAGTTTTAGGTTCAAGTAAACTGCTAGAATCTGAGGGTAGACTGTCAGCTTTCCTCCTGGTAGGTGATATATTAAGAGGAAAGCTTGAATCTGGAGTAGAAATCTGGTTGAGAGGAACAGATTCTTCTGGAATTGGAGGATTTTCAGGATCTTGAAGGCCATTGATACTTTTTGGAGACCGAAAATCCTTTCGAATAGATGGTAGCCGTAATTTGAAACTTTTGTGTCGACCTTTCAATAAAAAAGACAATAGGATTATTGCTGAGATCCTTTTGGAACAAATGGAAAAACATTATAACAAATTTTTCATTATTATATTTAGAAACTTGTAAATAGTATAGTTATGCTAAAATGTTTACCATGCAAGTAAATAAATATTCTCAAGTTTATTCATTGTGGTGTTTCATTAAAGTAACACCAGTAAATAAATCAAATGTTTCAAGAATACTGAAAACTGTGTCCTGGATAACATTTATTGTTTCAATATAATACAAAAACAAATAGCTGTCAAAAAAAAATCAAATTACAATCAAATGATCTTTCAAAGTGTTATAAAATATCGAAAGATGAATTGACCAGGTTTTCTACAATAGCTGATCTAATTTGAAACAGATGAACTATTTTCAAGAAATAATAGTTGAAAACAATATAAAAGAACAATTTAAAGAACACAAATATGTGAGAGTAGCATAGCTGATATTTCTTTAAAGTTTCATGAAAAAGCATATTCATATTTGTTAAATAATTATCTTCTTGATTGTTTCTTTCGTTTGATCTTCATAAAATCATCAAATCAATGCTTTAAAATTAAAATACACACAGGATAAAATGAATGAGAAAATTGTTATAATAAACAACAGAATAATAGAATGGTATGTTGTTAGGGACTGAAAGGTTTTTGTTGCAATAGTTTTAAATATTTAAAAACATATATAAAAGAGCATGAAATTGTTGAAATTTGTTATCATTTTGAATTTATCATTTTTGCATGTAATCAGAAGAATTTTGCAATTTCTGTTGCTGTTTTCTACTGAAGTGTCCTTCATTGTTCACTTATTCCAGAATTTATTTTTGTTGACTAAATGGAAACTGCTACAATTTCTATTCAGTTCAGGTTCAATGACATGATACACCAATAGTTGAATGTGCTTATACCATTCTTTAGACAATACCTTTGTTGGTTTTCATGAGTAACACTTGCTCAAAGCTACCAATAAATTCACCTATTTTTTCATTATGCTGATAACATCTTTGCCAACTTCACAATGGAATTAGAGTCTAAGAATTTTTTCCAGAAACTCAATTCCTTATATCCTGTCTTTACTTTTACTAGGGAGGAAATTAATCTCCCCTTACTTGAAACAGTCTCAAATTTTGAGTATCCATTGCAAGCCTACCTATTCTGGATTAGAGCTAGAACTTCTTCACTTTCAAATAGAGAAAAAAGTCAATTTAATAAATACAGTGCAGTGAGCACTAATAATTTGTTCTATCTTTAAATTGTCAAGTGAGTTCAATTTTATCAAATATAATGTCTTAATTTATTAGTAATATAAGAATCATTCAAAACATTGTAAGCCTTGCTTAGAAGTAGTTTGAGAAACAAGGTAGTTTTTCACTATTTTTCAATATAGACCTCCTTGACATCAATGCACATGATCCAATGATGCTTAAGCATTGCAATCTTATTATGGAAGAAGGCAGCATCCTGGTCCTTCAAAAACTCCTCCACAGCACATATGATCTCATCATTGTTTCCAAAATGGCAATCATGCAGATGGGATTTGAGTTTAGGAAACAAGAAGTTAGATGTGGTAGCAATTCCAAGCTACAGCTAGCTGTTTTTAGTTACTGCAACCTGAGCAGTGTGAATGGGTACATTATTTTGGAGCAAGAACACACTTGCCCTCAGCTTCCCTCTGCATTTCAACATGATTGCTTTCTTCAGTTGTTTTAATTCTGATGCGTAGTACTGTCTATTAATAGTTTTTCCCTTTTCAAGGTAGTCTATCATGATTACGTCTTCAGAATCCCAAAAAATCAGAAGCCAACACCATGCCAACAAATGCTACCCACTTGAACTTCTTCAGAGATGGAGAACTAGGGTGTTTTCACTGTTTGCTTTGAATCTTTGATTCAGGTTTGAAGTGGTGAACTCAGGTTTCATCTTGGTGGAAATTCTCAGTGTCAGCCTGGAAGTGAGTCAGAAGTGTCCTGGAAATGTCAACAGTTTTCAGCTTCTTCTCTCTATGGGACCTATTTTGCTCATCCCCAAGATCTCAGTTAAAACAGTATGGACTGAATCAGAACTAATGCCTATGGACTTAGCTGGACAGTAAAACATCTGTCATCTAAAACTGTACAGTGAATGGCATCAACTTGTTCATCAGTGGTTGAGGTTTTTGGATGACCTGACTTAGGGTGCTTGTCACTGCCCTGCTTGAATTTTGCAGCCCACTTCTTCACAGTTGCATAGGAAGATTTAAGATTGGGTTTCCTGTTCCTTCTAAAGTCTACTTCATCTTCTAACATCTCTGGTTGAACTTATTCACTAATTAAATCTTGACCTCTTCGTCTAGTGTTAGCTGTTGTCTTTCCTACATAGTCCTAAGAACTTCACTTCTTGCCCTTTCTCTGGCCCATACAATACCACACAGTAACCCTCTACTTTGAATGGCTCTTAGGCATTGCACTGGGTTAATATTAGTAAAAAAAATACAGTGTGGTGATTCTGAGAGAATTGAGTTCATTATTGATGGCCACAATCTTAACATAAGACATGCAGATACAGAAAGGAAACTACAAGAACTTCTACAGAAGAGAAGTGAGAAGAATGGACCAAACCTCAATTACAGGGTTATTAGCAAAAGGAACAACCCAACATGCACATTACAAATTGAGATACCAAAATCAAGCAAGTACAATTTAAATATCTAAAAAGTGTTTTAACAGAGGACAGAAAGTATGACACTGAAATCTGAAAGTACATTGGGATAGTGAAAAATACTTTCCAAATGCTAAGCAAAGTATTAAGAAACAGGAAAATTTTGTTAGAAACAAAGAAAAGAGTACTGAACTGTTACCTAATATCATTCCTGTATAGCAGTGAATGCTGGACAGTCTCTTCAGAGATTTGAAGCAACAGAAATGTCATTCTACAGAAAGATGCTGAGAATACCATGGACTGAACATGTGAGCAACAATGAAATTTTAGAGAAAATGGCAACAGAAAGACACTTATATTTAACATCAAACAGAAGGCTTGGAAAATTTGATACTCACAGGATAGATTGAAAGCAACAGGAACAGAGAAAAATAATGTATAACCTACTTATCCCAACATAACAACATTATATCAAACAAATATATTTCCAAGAAAATGTAAGTATTTCTAAAAACAAATGCAACTTCCTAAAAATATGATCTGTCCCTTAAACAGTCAATTTATGACTGATAATATTGTAAACCAAGTGAGCATACATTCCAGTAACAATGTTAAATTTTATTTTGGTGCAACTGAAAATCCTTGGGAATTTTGTTTCTACCATAATTGAATGAATTTAGGTAATATAAAATACAAAAACAACATTCCTCTCTCCAAATATTTCTGGCAATTAAAGAATGGTGGTAACTCATCAAGAGCCAAATCTTATAATGGGAAAGGAAATAAATGTAACATATCTTATTGAAAACACTTAAATAACCCTAGTTCATTAAATAAGAGAAATGAATTGAAGGTTACATGTAGGAAAAAAAATCAATACCACGTTGATCCAGATTAATTTATAATATAAATTATGGTTTTTTATATATATATATATATATATATATATATATATATATATGAAGAAAAATATACTGAAAAAAACAAAAAAAAAAAATCCTAATATGCGATTATGCTGTTTTAATGTTTAATAAATGAATCGGACGTTCGGGTCTAATAGACATATTCATAAAACATAATTAACATAGACCATATACAATTCAACATGAAAAAGACGGTGGACATAAAAGCAATACCAATCCAAACAGATAACTGAAATCTTTTATAAGATTTTTATCTTTTTCATGTTGAATTGTATATGGCCTATGTTAATTATGGTTTTATGAATATGTCCTGAAGATGGTCTATTAGACCAAAACGTCCGGCGTTGACATTAAACATTATTCCTATAAGAACAGAAAGGATTTCTTAACGAACTGTTTATATGAGAAAATCATTCCATCGAGCTTATCTAATATTTTGAAATCATCTTCACACATTTTCCCTGACTACATCAAAATCTACTTGGAATCATCAGTAAAAGATTTAAAATTTTCTGAGGAACAAACCTTTTTAAAAGCCACACTTCTAGGACGTGAACTAAAGTTAAAAAACAGCATGTCTTGTATCACAGCTGAGAGACTTCGATTTGAGGTGGCCAAAATTAATCAAAAACACATCAGGAGTTTAAAACTAAAATTTCATACTTTATGTGATCGCAGCTGTTTCATGGGTAGAACTGATCTAGTCACCAATATCTCCAAAACCACACTTGGCACTATAGAGACTGAAGCCCTTAGCTTTGGTCTAAAGTTTGCAACTGGTTCAAAAGACCACAACATTAGCAAACTGATAAATTTAAATTACAAACACAGTGATTCCGACTTCCATAAAGGTTTACCCAAGATATTTTAGCTGCCTCTTTTGACTGCCATAATATGGAATTTACTTTACCTAAGAGGTATATGAATGCCTTAAAATCCTTGTCTACGAACAATAATATTATTATATCTCCTTCGGATAAAGGAGGCGGTGTTGTTGTCATGGACACCGTTGCTTACAAGCAGAAAATGTTGGACTTGCTAAATGATAGAGACACTTATGAACAGATCTCTCCTATACAAGTTTCTAAGAATCTAAAAGAATTTAATAGGTCCTATAAGAAACTCATATGTAATGAAGATAAGATTTGGCTTTCTCTTATTAACTACCAGCCCACCGTCCCTAAAATTTATGGTCTCCCCAAAACCCATAAGCCTAACATTCCATTAAGGCCCATCATCTCGGGTATAGGCTCAGCTCCTCATAATATCGCTAGGTTTTTAACTAAATTTCTCACTCCAATTCTGGGCACCATAAGTAACGCACATGTAAAGAATTCAGGCTCTCTTCTAAATAAGTTGAGTAATATTGATATAAGAAACAAATCCCTAGCTAGCTTAGACATTAAATCTTTATTTACCAATAT